GCAGCGCTATGCTCTCATCGTTGACCGGCTCCTGTTTCATACGGCTACGGCACATCCACCTGCTCATCAGGCGAGGGTGCGGCGACACTACCGCCGCTATCTGGACCCGCAGTCGAGCCGGGCCCGGGTACAGGCCCGGGTCCATGTTCGGGTCACGTCAGGTCAGACCGGGTCAGGTCAGGTCACACCGGGTCACGTCCGGTCAGACTGGTCAGGCCGGGTCAGATCAGACCTGGTCAGGCCAGGTCAACCGGGTAAGGTCAGGTCAGGCTGGGTCGGGCTAAGCCAAGCCAGGTCAAGTCGAGCCGGACCAAGCCAAGCCTGGCCGGGCCGGCGGCGCGGGCGCCTCCGCCTACCATGACGCAAGCCTGCACGCGGCCAGCACGGTCGGACAGCAGCCGGGGACTGTCTGTGGCAACCGCCGCTTCACCGAACCCACAGAAACAGCTACTACTGACGCCCCGCTGTAGTGCTATTCAGCACAACCAGCCTCCTGCTGTCAAGCTTACAAGACGCACTCATCGGCTCGCGGTGAAACCTTATGGTACGGCCAATCCAATGACCCGGAACTGGCCACTCACATATGTATTAGGAAGGCCGGAGTGCTCCAGCGGTCCGAGGATGAGCCAAGCCATCGTTCTGGGAAGGAACTGCCATCCAACGCCAGCGTTCAAGTGAACATGCGAGGCATACCCATGGGACTTGCCGGCTCGGATCCGACCCCTGGACTCAACGCAAGGCTCCCTAGAGGCGAGTTATTCCACCAACCTTGGCTGGAAGCACGACCCGCCCCGCGTGACACGTGCGGCCCCAGCTTAACCCCGTAGTAACGCTGCACAGCACCCGGCGCGGGCTGCGGTCGGTACCTGATCACGCTGTCGATACTCGACACGGCGCCGATGGCCGCTCCTCGCCCGACGCGGGGCGACCAGACCCGGCGCCGCGACCGCAGCCAGGCGGGCGGCGGTCAGCCACCGCCGCCGCCGCCGCCGCCGGGGCTGACTAGGCTGATGCTGACTCGGAGCGTGCAGTCGCGTGCGTGGCCGAGCTCTTCCATGCGTGGCGCGCCGCCGGCGGGGCTCGGTGACGCACGTCCCCGCTGACTCACACGCGCAGGGGCTTCAACGATCAATGACAGACCGGGAGGCGCCGGTGCGAGGCGGGGGTGGCCATGACAGACCGAGGGGAGGCGCCGGTGCGAGGGGGCTGACCATGGGCAGACCGAGGGGAGGCGCCGGTGCGAGGCGGGGATGACCATGGGCAGACCGGGGGGAGGCGCCGGTGCGAGGCGGGGGTGACCATGGGCAGACCGGGGGGAGGCGCCGGTGCGAGGCGGGGATGACCATGGGCAGACCGGGGGGAGGCGCCGGTGCGAGGCGGGGGTGACCATGGGCAGACCGGGGGGAGGCGCCGGTGCGAGGCGGGGATGACCATGGGCAGACCGGGGGAGGCGCCGGTGCGAGGCGGGGATGACCATGGGCAGACCGGGGGGAGGCGCCGGTGCGAGGCGGGGATGACCATGGGCAGACCGGGGGGAGGCGCCGGTGCGAGGCGGGGATGACATGGGCAGACCGGGGGAGGCGCCGGCGCGAGGCGGGGATGACCATGGGCAGACCGGGGGGAGGCGCCGGTGCGAGGCAGGGATGACCATGGGCAGTGGAACGCCTGCAGTCCTGGAGGCTGATCCGTTCGGGGAGGCAGGAGCAGAGCGCCTATGCTGGTGATGGAAGCGGCTGCTGGGTATGGGTAGTTCGGCGCAGAGTATCAGGACGGGCGGGTAGAGGCTGGATAACCGGAGATGAGAGCTGGATACCTGTACCAGCCGTCAGAGCTCCCATTAGATTTGAGAGGTCGGAACAGTCCATCTGCTGCAGTGAAGGGTGCTGGATGTGGGGAGCAGTAAACACGCACCAGTAACGGGGCGCTGGATGTGCAGAGGTCGTAGCAGTGCGGCTGCACGAGACTCGACACCAGATACCACACACCTCTCATGTTCTCTCCCTTCGATTTTTAGCAATGGCATCCAAGGGCAGACGGTTTGGCATGATTGGAGCTTTGGATAAAGAGCTTAGCGCGCTGAACAAGACGGAATTTCAGTAACTGGTAATTGGCTTATGGCACAAGCTGTTCTCCGCATATATCCCTAGATGCATGCGAACCACGCCGTTCATATTGGAAACGGTCCGGCTTCGGCCCATGAATCACCGTATATGATCCTCTCACATTCCCGAGAATGCAGCGAATGCAACGGTACAAAGTACAACTTTGAGCCGTCCACAACGGGCACTGGCTGTAACATGAAGACCGGAGGACATCAAGCAGACTAGCTAATCAATGGGTGCGTCCATGGGAAAGTGATGCAACATTGCAAATAAGGGTCGCATTTGGACTCTGCTTTTTGAGAGCCCTGTCGCCCCAGCTGGAAGTGAACCCAATTTTTTTGCTATTTTTTGACTAATGAATGCTTCATATATTTTTCGGACCTAGCCAGCTCCTTTTACCCAGCTCGCAGCCGCGCCCATGTGCGGGACTGCGTCCTGTGTTGGATTGTCTCGTGTCAGGCGGGCCCAGCGCTGACGTGGCCGCACGGTAGGTCCTCGGCGGGTCACGGCAGCGGCGTCACGGGCCATAAAGGCACGTGGTCGCCATACGGCCGCAGAGACGGGCTATAACCCCTCCAGCCGGCGAGCCGACACCCGAGAGGCGGCAGCAGGCACCGAGAGGCCGGGCCGGGCCCGGCGCCCAGTCCGGCGGGTGCGGCCGCTCAAGGTCGTCCGCTAGCCGTCGTCTGCGCCCGGCAGGTGATCCCCGCCGTCGAGCGGGCGCCCGGCCCACAGCGCGCTGCCGAACGGCTGCCCACTGCCCATGGGACGCAGCGCGCGCCGGCTGCGCCCCCTCCCCACGCACGGCCGCGCCGGAAAGTGGGCCGAGAAAGGCGGACCGACCGCGGCCGCGCACCTGACGGGACAGCGCACCCGGCGCCGCCGCCGCCGCCACCAGCCGGCGGTTTTTGTCGGGGAATTCGGTGGCCGCGGGGCTCGATTCGAAAGGCGGGACGCGGGGAAGGACGAAGACGGGCGAGATAAGAGTGGTCGAGGCCTGCCGTCCGGCCGGCCCCGGTCCCTCCCCCGGCACGCCAACAGAGGGCCGGTGCTCACAGCAGCCCTCAACAGCCCGGGACATCGGGTGGAAAGCGGCGCCCCACACATTATCTCCACCCATACTATTCGGGTAACTCACGTACGGAAGATATGTTGACTCCTGATATGATGTGATATGTTCATTTACTGAAGATGTGACTTCTGAATGGCAAACTCTACATAGTTTGATTGAACTGCCTGGTTATCACAATTTGCGTATGCAGGTGTTCAGAAAAAGCAACGGGAGTTTCGGCAAACAAATCACCAACTTCCACATGGCATTCTGCTGCGGGGCGCCGGTCGGCCGGCACGGTCTTCAAGTGCCTACTGATGGATATTGGCAGGCTCGTTCCGGAGCACAGGTGGGCGCCATCCGATGGGCAGAGGTCAGCAGCGGGCAGCTGCGGGGAGCGGACCGTGACGGCAGCACTATCGGCCAGACGCCGATCGGCCGCCCCCGGTCACCGAGCGCCCGACTGGATAATCACTGGCCGGTACAAGTCAGCTTTTCCAGGACACCGATTTCTAGCCCGTTCTGGTAAATCAGTTCTCGGGGTCCAAGATGAACTCGGCTCACTCGTTTGTGGGCCGATGTTACGACCACACGCCAGCAACGGGGCGCGCCAACAAAGAATAGATGCATTTAAAGCCGGCTTACTGTCATCTGCGAAATGATCCAGTCGTATCACCGTTCTGGTCTCAGTTGAGTGAGTATTCGGGTCAAATGTCATCGCCGGTTGGGATTCTACGTTCGGAAATAAAGGTTAACCTTGACACAAAAGGGTCTAAGACGCTGGACACACGATGACTTCCTGGAAACACTGCACCGAACCAGGCTCCGTTTGCCATCACCCGTGGATCCAGAACCAAATCCCCGTCTCCGTCAACTTAGGAATTCGGACACCGCAGGAAAACACCAGCCGCCGTCTGGACCACAGGGCAGTGACACAAACTCTTCCCCTCAGCCGTCTCCGCACAGCGCTGCGCCGTCCGGCCCAGCCCCAGACGGAGGGCGAGCGGATCGTGAGCGTAGGTCGGCAGTGCCGCCGCGCCAGCCACCAGAACGCCGTGTAGAGGCAGACGGCTCCAGAATCACGAGCGATCGCAAACGCCGTCTTCGCCGATTTTACCTCAGTTGACTACGGGCAGTGTCGTAGACTGGGTCTTTCGACAAGAACGCATATCAGCAAGATTGCTCGCACCTAAGAAGCGGATGACGGGCCATACATGTATGAGCAAACTAGCTGAACACCCATCCCCGCCACAAGGCGGCGGGACAGCGGTCCTTTACATACCGAGCAGCCAGTCTCATGAACGAGCTGTCGGTCAAGGTCGGATCCGACAAGTTTTCAGGTTACTGCCAAGTTAATTTTGTAGCAAAAGGTTTGTCTTATACCGTTTGTGCAAGCATGTGTTTGTAGGATTTTTATCCGGTATCACGTTCCGTTGTTTTCGAATTGGTTTAAACTCCATGACAAATAATACGTACAAGCCACGTACCCATTTGGAGTGTCAGCTGATGTCGAAAAATAACAAAAATAACCTAGTCGACCTGAAGGTGCATACTCCTGCGGAGTCGGCCCTGAGCGTCCTCAGCGATTTTCAGCGGTATTTAGCATTCAATATGGATTGTTCAACCTTAGTCCGTGTCGCCTACGATTGGCCGGCAGCACTAATAGTCATAATTTCCACCATCGGCTGGAGGCAGCGCAAGACACAAAATCAACCAATTGGTATATGGTTTGGGCATTCATAAAAAAGCGCTCAATGTGGGCCGAGGCCTTTCACGGTAACCCTGCCCAGTTAGCGGAAAAGGTCCAAACGTAAAATGTACGTTTCTGAGCGTCAGGATGGACTTACTTTTTGAATATTCTCTCGTACTCCTTGATCTGTTTGCGGGAGAACTCGGGAAACTCGGTGTAGGGGTTGAACACCCGCAGAACCTTCTTGACCTCCTTGCCGGCGTGCAGGTCATCATTGATCTGACACCGTCGGTTGAGGACGGCACTGAGCTCGTTGTCCGCCGACATTGTCCCCTGCGAGAACATGCCCCCAGTGTCAGACAGTGATTTCGTCCATGTCCAAGAGACATATGAGAGACTATGATTTCGTCCAAGAGAGAAAGAGAGAGATGCTCGGGAAGTAGGCGTAGACACTGGCGGACAAGACTGAGAAGAGTTGGTAAGGCGCCGGCACCACAACCAGCATTTTTGAATGGCCATGTGAATATCAAGCAAATTAATCGGCGTGACGGCATTCCAGCCCCTCCCCTCGTGACGGTGCCCCTGCGTGTGTAAAATGCATAATCCCTAGATGTGGGTTCCGACAGAACCAACCAATTCAAATGCCTACATATGGAAACCACACGAACCCGTGCTCCTTCCAAGGCAAATGGTCCGGGGCCTTGGTCATCGCTGCTTTAACTGATAGCGCCCGCATGACGAATAATTTCATGTTGCCCAGGAAACACAAAAAAACATGACTGAATCAACCTTAGCAAGGCACAAACGTCGAATAGGTACCAGATTACCTGCAAAAGTACTAGTCAGCTCAAAGCTGAATGATCAGAAAATACAGCCAATGAATATCAGGCAGGATAAATTACCTTGGCAAAAAGGAAGTTTTACAAAGATGGGCGAACACACCAGGTCTTCACGTCACCAGCGATCGCGCACGCACCCTTGCCGCCACGACAAGACTGATGCACGTGAGGCGGCGCGCTCGATTGTTTATTGGACGAAGTCTTGGCCGCGCCACTTCTGGCGCCACTTCTCTCTTCTGCTACAGGGCAATCAGCTGATTGTAAGGCGTAACGTGCACTGATGCGGAAAAATATGACGCGACTGGTTTCACATTTTGAGGTACCACTAATATGAAAATATGCGTAAAATTCAAACGTTCTAAGCAACATTCCTCAAAGAGAATTTCCTGAATAACACGTATAGCAGCAATGCAAATATCATCCAACGGTGTAAGCATCGACTGCGAAACACCAACAGCGAAACAAGTATAGCAAGGCGCGGGGAAATACTGTAGGTCACGTGCAAATGGTAGTATTTCCGTGCAAATAGGCACATTACGTAATTACAAATCTCTAATTGGTTTAAAAACAATTATTTGTTGGCGTTAAGATACCAATATTTTAGATCCAAATTGTCCAAAACGCAATCTATATCAATTGATAGTGACATTCAGTAAAGTCATGTGATAAAATGTATGTTGGAGTAGATTGCGCAATTGTGCTCTTACTGGCGCACTACGTCGCGAAATTTTGTGTCGCGGTGAAGCGTACTAGTGCTGTCGCGAGCAAGGATATTGTTGTCTATGCATAGAGATTGAAAGTGGCTGTAAGTGTATTACGACTGCTGAAAACTTAACAATCACAGCCTTTATTGTGTTATCCTTTCTGATGTCTAGTTCTGGGTAAAATCGACATTGCTCATCACCTGCAAGAAATAAGATCTCAAGCTGAAGGTAGGCTATTGCCCCATTTTCTTCATTTTCAGCCTTGAACCAGCAGACCTCATAAGGTGCTTCGGATAAATACGTTTCCAGATATTCCACCAAGATCGTCCTCAAAATTAATGGTGGCAAGTGCACCGCTGCTCTGGGATATCTGCAATACAAAAACAGATGTCAGTGTTGAAAATCTTGCGAGCATCAAAACAAGTCCAATATCAGAGCACTTCACATGTGTTTCATGTTCCTTTATGCATAACAGTATGATGTGAAATGTTTGTTCAATCTGGTGCTGCTGGCTGCATAGTTATTGGTATCAAGTGCTATATTATTTATTAATACCTAGCACTCACCCTTATCATTATAAGGAGTGCCTTTGACCTAGAAAAAACCCATGGAGACAGAGATCACCAACCAAATGTGGTTTGATTGCTTTATGCCAGTTGTCACTTTGATGTTACACATCCTGTATCTGTCTGGAAACCCATGCATTCAATCTTAGGGTGAGTAGATATGCTTAGCTGTAGGAAAAATAAGATTTCCTATCCTGTCAGTTACATTTTGAGCTGTGATGTGTCATTTTTCTAAGAAAGATGCCACAATCAAATCAAGGGGCATGTTGGGACTAGGCGATGATGTTGACTGGTGGATATTGGCATCTCAGCTGCAAGGACCATTTCACCCTACTGAAGAATGCAGGAGCCACATATTGGCATATTCAAAACTAAATGATGGTTGTATTCTGCACTTCTCTGGCTGCATATAAGAATTATTGCTTTCAAAGGACTATCTGCTCCCATACTTACCAGAGGTTTAAGGCTTGCATGTAGTAAACATGCTCTTGTATTGGATTTTGTCATTGAAAACTGCAGTACAGTCTTGAATGACAATGCAGGTGCTAGAAATAGCATTGCAGGCTGCTAAAGATAGCATTGCTGGCTGCTGCTTTTGGGGTGGGCACAGTTGTGTATCTTCTGGGGAATGCTGCAAGGTGACACCCACTGTTGTCAATGTGTTGGTGCTGGGAAGCATTTTGATACATTTGTAAATATCTCCAGTTTCATTACATTCAAAATGCATGCTTGGTAACTGTTTTTCATCCATGTGACATTCTTCTGTGAGCTTAGACCTGTTTTCTGTCATAAAGTATCTTACCTTTATCACCTGAGTTTTCATTTTGCATATAAACAAAACCAATAAAAGCAGTTAATTTTCCCACTCATCTAATATTTATTACCCATGGTTTTCAACCTTAACTTACAAAGTTTCTGAATAGAGAAAGGTGGTACCATGTGCCAATCCTTGAATCCTTTGTGGTGTAGGGAAATTGATGCATTTTAGAGCATGATGGCACACTGCTATTTTTTGTTTCACCTTTTGGGTGTAATAAAAGTCTTCAGATTTTTGTTTTGCTTTTGAGGTTAAGAAACTCTGCAGCACAAATTTCATCATGGAGCACTGGGAGCCTGCCTGTGAACCACATGAACTTCGGCTCAGGCACCCTTACAGTGGCCATACAGGCCAAGGGCAGTGAGTGAGTGCAGCTGAGCAAAAGTCGCGAGAAATCGAAAGACGGGAGAAAAAACGCTTTGAGCTGTTTTCTTATCACTAAATCTTGGAGACCAGTAGCATGCTACTCGCTTCGTTTCACCCACGGCGCGGGCGCGCTACCCCTCTGGTCCCGAGGTATAGCGCCATCTATTACATCGGTAGTCTGAAAACTGACCGCCAGGTAAATCATACCTCAATGCTGGACTCCGGGGCCCATGGCCTCCGCCCATCTCCCCAGCCATGGCCAGTCAGTTCCGTCAGACGTCCGTCTCTGAATCATGGTCTCAACCTTTTAATCGAGGGGATTTTGGACAACAAATAATGTTACCATTAACAGGCGCTCGGATGGGGTCCATTTAACCCCCTTTAGAGGTTTTCGGGAATGGTTTCTGAACGGCGCGACGCAGCCGCGCCAAATTTTGCATAGCCTTTGTATGAAAAATTTACGTCTACCTTGTCAGGTCGCTGACCTACGGCAGGTCCCAGTTTCGCTATTGTCAGCTGCGAGTGCTGATGACGCGGGCTGGCCAGCACTCACAGCTCCGTGTGTGCGGAGGCCGCCGGGGCCGCCCGCCCCCGCGTCAGCCTGATCCGTAGCGGCCCCGGCGGGCGTAGCAAGCTGCTGCGGTGAGCCGCGCACGGGAAATGCCGCCGCTCCCGGCGGCGGGGGGGGGGGGGGGGGCGGATGTGTGCCAGCCGCGTCTGACGCAACGCCGGTGGGGAGGGGACCGTGCTGACCTGGTCGCGCGAGACTGCTGGTCAAGCCGGCACTACGGGCGACACCCCGCGCTCAGACCTGGCTGACCGAGGCTTAGCGTGGGCGGGTGTTCGCATGGTTATACTGGAATGCGGTTGTGCATACGTGCAGCCGAACACCGTGGCTCGACGGCGACGTCGGCACTTCGCTTGATCTTTTGCTAATATTTTCAGTCTCATAGTCGTATGGAAGTCACGCAGCATCACCTGTGGGTGACTTGCTTTGTTAAGTGCTTATTGCGCCATGAGAGTGTTGTGCAGGTCATTTATGTGGGAATAATTGGTGCTTAAAGCGGGTTGTCTGGCCGACAGGACAAGCTGGGACATTCGCCAATGTCGACGAGTTCGACAGACAGGCGTGCACTGATACTGAATATGATTTTTGTTGTTGTTGAAAATGTGCCAAAAGGGGTACCACGCTCACGCAGATGTATCAAAGAGGACAGTAATGAATATTTCTCTGCGATGCCGAACGTTGGATGCTTGCATTAGACGCCTTAATGAGTGCATGCACGTACTCCATACCGTATTTTCGTATAGGGTCGGGGGGGGGGGGGGAGGGGGAGGAAGGGGCGGCAATTCCCAACATCCAAATCTGTCTCTCCAGTTTGTTCATCTCCACCGGTGCACCTGTTGGACGAGACCTGATCTTCAAGTGGCCAGACAGTGTTTTCGTTCCGATTGACAGCACTTCAGTTGCACGTGCTCGAGTAGCCCTGGCACCCGCGTGACTGTGGTGTCATCCCAGAATTGATCCCTTCGTCGTCATCCCTTTTCTATCAGATCAATGTCAGATGCTGCTGTCGGCTCCATCGAACTTTGTCCGACAAGGCTGGGTGCATAGGCGTCAAACCAGAAGTGTGGTAGGGGAGGGGAGGGGGAGGGGCGGAGAGCACTGCCCTTCCCGGCAAACTTTTGTGAAAGTTTGACATCAACTCGATTGCTGATGCATGAGAAGATGTGACTTGAAAATGGGGTTCACTGCTACCACTTCTTCTGACGTTTGCGCGCCCCTGTGGTGTATGTTGACAGACGAACCCAGCATGCATACACCAGCCGCACGGACAGATGCGTGCCGGCAACGCCCAAGGCACGGAGTCGAGTTGCGCTGCGTCACACAGCATTGGTCTGAAAACAAGAAAGGGAGAGACCCGTCGTGGCACATACTGATTGTGCGAGTGAAATAAACGAATTTAACTCCCGTAGTTCGAGGGTAGACCTCCTTGCACATATCCGTTTGAAATGAAGAAGGTGAGCTGTTTAAGAACTAATTACGTCACTAGTCTTGCGGACTGGTTTGGAAACGCCGAACATAGCTTGGCATAAGAAACATAATTTGAGTGCGTGCTTAGTCAGAGTTCACAATTTAAGCGATTTGATACTGAGGAAGATTGCTGATTTTACGAAAAGCCGTAATGTAACGATGTTATGTGCAATGAATGCCCAAATTAATTTTCATCACCATGCACGGCACCGGAAGTGCGCCTGGGTTGTCGTAAGTACACAGTGAGCGAAAGACTTACGCAAATTTTCCAAAAGATAAAAGGACCAACATGATATATGATATGCTGTTTCATGCAAAATTCATTTTGCGGGAAATGCGCTTGTGATGGTGGTAAGCAAAGGGTATCATGGAAAAATTCCTTAAGAATTTACATTTGATGTGGAACATGTAGGTCAAGAAGGAAGGATTTGAGGAAGTTATATTTACCGCTCGAATTGAAAACGTCGAGCATAGTCATGCACAAGTACAATTCAAGTCGTGCATGAGAGAAGTCATCATTTCTTCAACAATTTTCTCAAAACATCCCCTTGTCTTTAACCATATTTCCGCACGTCCAATTTTTCTTGAAATCCATGCGGCGGTCGGATGTAAACCCCTGGTGTCCATGATTGTATTGAACCGATTTTGCCAGGCTGGGTTTTGAACGAAAACGACTGTTCTAAACAAAGCGTTTTAGCTTGACGAAAATTTCGAAAAACGTTTGTGACGCGCTCAGGGTGACATGAAGTGAAACCTTTCGTAGTTGTCTGATAGGAACTTTCAGATTTCCCGGAACCTTTCGTGTTTGTTCTTGTATGTATCCATTTTGATCCCAGAGATATATGCCAGCTGTTCCGAATCGATGGCGATAGCAAGATATTGCAAATTGGTGTAAATTCAAGGGAGTAGTTTCGCAATATTAGTGGGATGGGGAGGAGAGGAATATGCCAACATCAGGTTTTTCCCTGGATTTTGCTCACTTTCTTCTCAAAGTTGGATGGGGGGGGGGGCGGGGCTGAAGCCCAAGTTTAGGTGAATTTTGGGGAGAGGAAGAGGCAAGTTTCCAACTGAGTAGCAAACTGCACCCCTGGTGTAAATATAACACCTAACATTCATCAGAGCGTCACAATGCGAGAGCTGATATTTATCCTCCTATCCCGCGCTGTGTTGCCTACGCCCGCCTGCGACGAAACCCCCAATCAGTCGCAAAGGTAGGCTATACCAAGCTGGTGCAGGACGGGAAAAACGCATAGCTGGTGGTGGTAATGTGCGTACGATCAAGCCGACTCCTACTCGTGACCATATTTATTTAGCCGGCACCACCCCTGTGATTGATCTCGCTACACCTGTGACCTTTGATCTGTGCTGGAGTGTCGTTGTTACTAATAAACAAAAGGTTCAAGCCTTCTAAGAAAAAGTCTGGGCTGTTGTCCGCCCCTTCGGT